ATTAAATGGAGATAATAAATTTCTAAAATAAAAATTGTTGTATAGGTTTGTTGTGAAAATTTGAATAATTTTTCATATTAATAATGAGTTTTTTAAAATCATTTCAAATAAAAATGGTTGACTACAATAATAAAATATGTTCCATCACTGATTTGTAATTACATATTTAATTTATAATTTTAAAATAATTAAAAAAATTTCAATTTTGTTAATAATTGTTGTTTATGAAAAATTTAATGATATGTTATTAAAAGAGATTTTCGATTAGAAGAGAAATTAAAAATTATTCTAAAGGGTGGAATGTTAAAAAGAATTTTAGATATTAATATCACGGGCCTGAAATATTCAGCGAAAAAAATATCCATAAAGTGTTACAAATTTTATGATGAAATTTTCCTAAAAACTTTTGTTTTTTTTTAGTATTTCGATTTTTATCAGGATTTTGGCTGTTGTCGTCTCTCGGAATACGAGTAGTGCGAGTATGGTCTGTATGCTAAGAGATGCAAAGTTCCCCTATATTAATCTAGATTTATTCTATTGTTTTAAACGATTTTAACTTATAAATTTTTAACAAACGTATAACAATAAAAATTAATCAAAAAAATTATAAAAATTAAATGCGGTTTTGGCTTGGTAAATTCAGAATGGTAATTTTAACATTAAAAAAACATACTCATCATGTTATGATTTTAAAAAATTAAGAAAAATTAAAAATTTCAAGTTCAAATTAAACTTATGAAATAAATTATAATAAACATGACTTAACACCATATTACAATTGCAAAAGGTTACCAAAATTAAAAAAATATTCACAAAAGTATTTAAACGTTCTTGAATTCTTGTTTTGTATAAAAGAAAAATAAATATTTAATTTTAGCACTTATGTGACAAAAGCATTCATTTATGTATTTCATAACCATTGACTTCATCATTACGAGTATACAAGTATTTGGAATATTTGAAAAGTGTATATTTACTACACGATATTTTAAAATTGTTATGTTAGTGTATTATATATATACATATGTATAATACAACGTGACGACCAATTTAAGGTATAACCTTTTAAAATCTTAAAGAATATCATTATTCATAGTAGCAATTGATACCCTCTTCATTATCATTAAATAGGGAATTACAGTTTTTAAAAATATATAGGGTGATTATTGTCATCGTTTACCTTTTTGTACTTTTTACTTTTTGATACTTCATGTAGAACTCATTACAGGTAATAGAAGTGATCATTTCACGGTAGGAAGACTGACGTTCTTGAATTATTAAAAATTGGTAAATAATACAAAAATATTTTGGACCAGTTAATTTACAGTCAGTATTTGCATCGACTGTATCTTTGAAAAATAATCTTAAAATTTAGCTCACAATTTAATCTTTCAAAATGGAAAATTTATTCGTGGAAAATTGCATTTAAGAAGTAGATGGCAACAATATTAATAAATTAAATACTTAAAAAAATCACCCATTGTACAAGTATAGACAATAACAATAGGAAAAAAAAAATCAAAGGTGTCAAGTTTATTTAAAATTAATTTTAGCATAGCAATAAACAGCAAAAATTTCCTTACTATTCATATAGGTAATTATTATAAAATACTTTGCTAATAAACTTTTTTTTGGTCACAATACAGATCATTCACAATAATATTTGAAATTAAATAATGTGCTAATTGAAAATTATACAATATTATGTTTAGTTTATTTGTATTTAAATAAACTTGAATGATTTATGAACTTTTGTAAATTAATTTTATTAAATATTTGCAATGATATTAAGTTTTATTACGTCTTATATACTAAGTGTAATAAAAAACAGATTTTAATTAACAATTAAATTTTTATCTTATTTTAACTTTGCAATTACGATTCTTACAGTTTATCATATTTTTATATAATTTTGTAAATAATAATCAAGTAGTTGATTTTTCTCATAATAATAATAAAAATAGAGGGTTAGTTTGGTAGCCAACATTATAATTATAAAATAAAGGATTATATAAATTATTATCTCATTACAATACATGTACGTCTAATAAAAAAATGAGGGTATGTCTAACAAGAAAAACAATAATTATTAAAGTACAAAGAATTATTAATTTATAAAAAACGAATTTAAATAAATTGTTATAATAATGCATACTGTACATATGCACATAAAGAATATAAAAATAATGTTATTTACATATGTAAGAATGTGCGCAATAAAAAAATTAAATTCTGTCAAAAATTTTATTTTTATTAATTTTGAAATATGATATTTTAAAATGTATAAATTGATGTATCTCAAAAACACTATATTTTTTTTATTAAACTTAATATAGTAATAAATGAAATCAATAGTTAATATTTAAAATATTTTCTGTAGTTATTTAAAATAAAAAAACAAATTATGATCCCATATGTGATTAAAAATTATCATATCAAATTTCATATTACATTATATAAGTTGATAAGTATATTTACTAAGTTCATCACAATAAAAAACTTATATTGTTATTTGTTGCCCTTTAAATATTTTCATTGAAAATATTAATTTCAAAAGTAAAAATTTTTTGATATTATTGTAAAACTATATAGATATTGTTAAATTATCACCCATATTCTTTCCCTTGCATCATATCATTTGAGGTGATTTCCCTCAGACGGTATTATTCAAAAATATCATAATTTTCAGAATAAAAATAATTTCGAAATTTTAAATTTTTAACTAAAATACTCGTTTCTTTTGAAGAATGGCCTATATTATCTCAAGTGATCACAGAATAATAAGTGAATATCAAAAGAGAATTTTTGTTATAATAAATTCAGCGTTTGTATTAAATAAATGGAAAGTTATTTAGTCAAAAATATTTAAAGAAATTTGCGAATGATTTCACATATGCATTAATTTTTTCAAAATTATTACTAAAAATACTAACTAAGAAGAAAAAAAAATTTATGTGTGTATATGACAAATGTTCTACTCGTATATGTCAATGTTAAAATCCAGAATTCTTTGACTTGTATTTGAGATTTTTTTTGTAATATTAAAAATTTTATCTCGGAACAAATTTGGAGGTTCAGAGCTATAAGTTTGTGATTTTTGTTTTCGGATTGAGATAGCACTTCAAATGCTAAAAAAAAAATTTGATATTTCAAATTTGAAAATTTCATTAAATGAAAAAAATCACCGCTCGTTTTAAAATCAGAGCTGCCGTATTATTAATTCTTTTTTTCTGATCAGAGTGTACTCCCATTAGCGAATTACAAAGTGAATGATTTTCAATAATTATTGTCTTATAAAGAGTTTTTAGTCTGTAATTAAATTAAATAAATTTCATAAAAATCAAACTAAAAATAAATATTTTTCAAAATTGTTTGTTAGAATTTTAATGTTTTGAATAAAAAAAATTTCAATTAAAAATTAAAAATATAATAACAAAAAAAAAACAGTTTCAAAAGTAATTAAAGTTAGATCTCAATGTCAAAGATTTAAGGATCATAATATAGTAATTTTCACGTAACTAAAGGGACGGATAAATAACATATAATGACATTTACTACACTATTATACGTATTGTTATTTGATTATTTTTTTAATATTTTAATCACATTGTCTTGGATAATATTCTTCTTTGGATTTAACAATAAAGAAAACTTCAGTATATACATAGTTCAAATGAAATATTGAAATGAAAAATTTTCTTTATAATTCAAAATGTGCCTTAAAACAAGACATACAATTTCTTTTCCAACAACTTAGGATAAAAGATCAAAGTTGCCTTAAAATAACAACATAAAAATAAGATTGCCTTAAATTAAAATTTGAAACCAACACGTGTAAGATTAATCAAAAAATTTTTATTAATTCTCACACCAACTTTAATACATACATACATACGTTATTGTTAATATATTTTTGAGAAAACTGAACCAGACAACAGGAACAATTTTGTAATTTTTGTGAGTTTGATAAATAATTTTTCTTTTTTTTATTTTTTAATTTTCAATTATTAAGTTATTTTAGGTTGCAAAATTTCTTGTTAATTTTAATCTTTTTTCTTATTTCTACAATTTTTCATTTAAAATCTATGATTATCTACCGTCGAGTGTCTTACAAATTATTTTTCAAAAATTTTAAACCAAAAAAAAATGTAAGACAGGAAGTTGGATTGTCTATTCACTGTTTTTAATACAACGTATGGTATGATCTGATACACACACACTAAAACAAATCATTTTTCATACCTATTTAGTTTCGATGACTTTTTGAATTAATCTTTCATTTTATATGAGTAACAAATTTTCATTTTATCTTTAATTTATTTAATTTTTTTTCTCAATAATAAAATTCTCTTTTAAAATAAAGGAATAACATACATACATAAATATTACATATTATGTTTGTATATTTATATTTTATAATAATATTACTATATCTACATTATATGTAATATGTTGATAGTTATATATGTATATAGTATATACAATAATAATAAGCAGCTGAAAATATTAATAATAATAGCGGAAAATATGAAAGTCATCATTCAAAAGGAAAAATATTTTTCATTTTGTGGTTATAATTTTCTGCCCTCAAATACTTGTGTAATACAGAAATATAGACATAATATGTATATATAAATATATATGCATCATGTACATTAATTCAAACATATCAATATTACAACGATATACATACATATTTACTATTTCATACTCTATGTGCTCGGTTAACTTTTGTGTAATATAATAATGGCACAAAGGAATAAAAAATAAGATGCAATATTGTTGTTGTTGATAATGTTTTTTATTTCTCTCTCTCTATTGACGCTGATTCTGTTGTTACTGTTACTGTTATTACTTGCATATTATAATATATGTAACATTTTTTTTTTATAAATTGTTATTTGATTTAGATATTTATGTATGTAACATAAGTATGTATGGTTGTACATCTTAAATCCATATTTTTTATTATAAAAAGGATATATTAAATTCCAGAGGCATTTCCCTTTACATATTTTCATATATAATGTATTTATAACAAATTGTCATTTATATTCCTGTTTATATTTAGTGCAACGCCACACAAGTTTTATAATACATTGTATTTTTACAAGCATACATAGTGCGAATCAAAAGTTTTAATATGCAGTTTACAAATTATTGAAATTTTTTTGTAGAATTATTGCCATAATTTTGGTTATTTTACGCCAATTTGAGAAAGTTACCTAAATTAGTTACATTAAGAGTTAGTTCGCACAAAAATTTTCCTCATAATTTGTAAATTAATTTACAAAATATTTTACAAATTTTCCTCGCAGAAGGCATTCATAATCGGAAATCGGAACCATTTCTCCATATTAATCTGTATGTTTGTTGTCCAGGTTTGTAATTTATCCTAGGATTTTTTTTAATGGCTGGTTTTCTAAAATAAATAGTAAAGTTAATTTTTCAATTATATGTTAATCTTGTTTTAAATTTGTCAATATTTTTCGACCCTAAAAGATATAAAATTTACAAATCTCTTAAACCTTAAATGGTGTAAACAGGCAGAAGAATGAACGAAAATGTTTTTAAATGTTTTAAGTAAAATCAATAAGCACACTTTTTTTCTAATATTGAAGTTGAGAATGTGTTGAAAACTTTTGAACTGTACCAAAAAATTAGATTTAAAAAGCAAAAACGCAGATTTAAAATTTTTGATTTACTCAACTAAATTTATTCAATTTCAGTTGAGTTCCGCTTATAAAATTTATCTGACTGATTTATGTTTATGTACGTTACGAGTACGTATACTGTATAAAAGCATATAAGATAATGGCTAACCCTCTATATTTTTTAGTTCGTTTATATATGATATAAATGTGATCGAATTGGAAATTAGGATGTCGAGTTTTTTTTTTTTTGAAATTCAATATGTTATAATTGAGTTTTAATAGTTTCGGCATCACGGACGTCTCTCAATTGTTTTCTTAAAAGGATTTTAGAATTAAAAATTCTTGTTTTTTATTATTATTTTTTTGCATTTTGTTAATATGAGGACATTACATATATTGCAAGTTAAATAAAAAAAAAATATTTACGTTTATTTGGGATTAAAAAATTTTTTTTTAAATATTCCAAATTTTTTTTTTGATAATTTGTTAGGGGGTATCACATGCATTTATAAGTAAGTAATAATTTTATGTTTTTCTTTGAAATTGATCACAAAAATATAAACAATGATAAAGGATTTTCTATTTTTCAGGCTTTTTGTTTTTTTAATCAGATCACAATTTTCTACAATATTTTTTTTTTTTTGATAGGAATGGGAAATTCTTTTATATATGAAGAGTGTCAAACGTAATTTTTATGAAATTATGTTAAGGGATCAATCGACCATATCTCTGCGAAGACTGAAATCAATCAGATTTTTATATATGTACATAAAATATATAAAAATTGTTTTGACACTATATACAAGATTATTCGAATTGAAAAATAATAAGAAAACACAAATGACAACATAAATGACAAATTGTGATAATGTTGTGTAATTGAGTGCACGAAAAATACCATTTGAACGGGTGTATTTTTTTTAAGGTTATGTTGGTTATAAAAATAATGAATAAATTAATAGTGGAATAATATGAATTTAAAATATTGTAGTTGGGAAATTAAAAATAGAATATTATAAACCTTTTGAAAAATATTTTCATATCATATGTATGAGAGTATTAAATCCGGTCTCAAAAGAAAAATTATTAATCCTTCGGTTGTGTAAACACAACAATGTTTATAATTTGTATTTCAAGAAAATTTTTATAAATCATAGAAATTTGTTTTGTAAAATTTAGTTATAAAAAATATTCAATTTCTTTTAATTTTTATTACTATAAAGAATAAACTATGAAACTATAATATTTTTTTTCCAAGAATTTTAAGCTTAGCTACTTTTTAACAGCAATATTTAATCCGTACACAGAAACAACTCTTGAAATATTTTATTTCTAAAATATCCTATTTCTTATTTAGATTATAATATCAATATAATATGAATTCGTTTAATTAAACCCATTTTGTTTTTCTTTTCCTTCTGGTTAAATATTTTTTGTAACCTTTATTTTTTTTTTGAATCTCAAATTCTGGTTTCAAAACTGTACAATAACTAGCTATGTATACAAAAAACAAATTCTTTAAAAATTGTTTTTTTTTCCTATGTTACCAAAAAACCAAAACCAGTAGAAAAATTGACATTTATTTTAATTGAAATTGACTTGAATATTATTATATACCATTATTATTATTATGTTAATTTCTGTATATAATATGCATACAATTTTATTAATTATATACGGATACTGATCATTAAATATGCTCCTCGTTCTTCCTTACACAAAACTAAAAAAGAAAAAAAAATTTAGCAAGAGATCAGCTTCAGTAAGTCAATAATAATATGGTTAATTATGTAAAAGATATTTGATATTAATTTCAGATAAATTTCAGGCAACTTTAAAAATTTCGTATATGTATATGAATGAGGTTCCTTTTGAATATGACATACAAAATATAATATGCATATTTAAATTATATACAGGGTTTTCTTGAAGTTTTTAGTACTACTATTACGAGATTTTGTATAGCACAACGAAGTTACTTCTAATGTTTCATAGCACAACTCATTTTATGAAAACAATTTGCGTATATTTACGAGAGAAAAATGGTATGAATGTATGATAGATAGATCGTTTCAAATACTCAACTCAAAAAAAATTTTTTTTAGTTGCGTTACTGCAACACACATTTTCTGCGAAGACAAAATGTCAAAAATAAATTGAGACCCTTGATACTTTGTAAAATGTTATTAAAAAACATACTCTTGACAGTGTATCAAATACCTATGTTTGATGCAAAAATGAAATTTAGGAGAAATAATCACGTAGTAATAAATATCTATGTATATAATTTCAATTAGTGGCTAATTTTAACAGACTGACAATTTCAGTGTTATAATTAATCTTTCAATTTCAAAGTTTTAATGAAAAATGAGGCATACAACTAAAGTTGGCGAATACTTTCTGCACAGTGGCATTTTTTTGTTAAATCGGCAATTTGTTCAGTAGATCTAAATTTCTGTAAATTGTTTTAAAATTAAATATGATTTGTGATCGTAAAAAATGGAAAAACTCAAACAATTGTCTAAACTCCTTTACATGTCATTTTAGAGTTCAAACTTGACAAATTTAAATTTCTATTTTTTTTCGAATCAATAATTTTAACACATCCTGTGAATTATAAAAATTTTTGCTTTTTTGAAAAATTTTATTCGAAAGAAATAATCTTTATGTTACGCTCCCTTTTGTTAATTGATTTTTTTACGCTTCATTTAGAAAATGACACGATTGATATGTTTAGCAGGCAGCAAAAGTAGCATCAGCAGCAATAATGTGCCTGAATGAATGGGTTTTTGTCTTATCCTTTTCAATATTTTTAAGAAGAGATGGTATCAATTTCATGTTATTATATTTTTAAGAATTAAAAATTAAGAAAAAAAAAAAACAATAATAAAGAAATTAAACGTTCTAAGTTTTTTTTTTATTTTTGCAATAAATATTAACTTTTTTTTTCCAAAGTATCACATTTCTTTATTAACACTCTTTTCATACATATATTTTGAATGTAAATTTTAAAAATAACCGTGTTATTTTATCATTTTTAATTTTGTTCTCCAAAATGATTTTCAAAGAGTTTTCTGTAATTTCTACGAGTATAAAATTTTTAAATAAAAATTAATAATATTGATCAGTCAAACGGTTTCTTCTTTATAGGTTAGTGAAATTGAGACGCTTAGAAATATTAATTTTCAATTGAATGATTAGGTTTTTCATAAGAATTTTTAATTCAATATCTAACAGGGTCTTATTTGATTTTTCTGGAAGTCTCAATTGTTTGGAAAGAGTAAGCTTTAAAATCTCAGAATTTCATTTCATTTTGAAAATATTTCATGGCACTTAAAAATTTTCACAATGGCAAAAATTTTTACGAAGTTGTAAATATGACATGTTTCAATACACAGCCGAATACTTTTATAAACAATTTTATTTTAATCTCTTTACAAAATGTTGATTATTCTGTAAGGGTTAACAGGGTTCATAATATAATTAGAGCATTGTGCTTATATTTAATTTTTAGCATATTATTCAAAAATAAGATATGAACTTTTGTTGGAACATATCGCACCATCCATAATATAAAATTAGTTGTTCAATTAAACAAACTTATAAGAGAATGAATTAATTGAATAGTAAATTTACTTAAAGTGTCATCTAAACTGATCATTATCATATCATTTGATTCAAGAAATTAAATGTTAAATTTAAAGAAACAATAAAATAATGGAATTTAGTCACACTATGTAAATACTTAAATTATGGGTTTTATAACCATTTATATTTGTAGGTATATGAGAGTTTATTCAAAATGATCTTATCAAAAATTCTACATAGCTAGTTAAAAGTTTAAGTAATTTTCTGTGTTTAAAGAATGCTTTAACTAATTTTGAATTACATAATATATTTTGGTTATTTTCACTAATTTAAATCATTTTAGATGATAAAATCAAATTTTATTTTACCAAAATTTAATTATATATTATCGTTTTACTAAAATTACATTATTCGAATGTCAAAAACAATTTATTTTTCTTCTAACAGCGTATTGTTTTTTAAGGTGTAAACGTTAAAACATTGTCTTTCAATTTATGTTCACTATCCATATCTAATTGTAAATGTGGTATTTTTTTGTTTAACCAACATAATGCAAGTTAAAAAGAATAAATTCTAAATCCAATTTATATATTTTACATCTAGATTCTTCTAAAAATTTAGTAAAATTTAGTCGACTAAAAATTTTTATCATTACTTGTAAAATAAGGTGAAATCAAACAATCATTAGTGATTACTGATTTAAGTTTTCTAATAGAACTTTGTTTTAAAGTTCTCAAAAATTTGCAACAATAGTGTTAGGAAAAAAAATGTTTTGAAAGCTTCTAGTGTCCACAACACAACACAATTCAAAACCTCTAATATTGAAAAGAGATAGATTTTCTTTATGAAATCCGAGCGGGTATGTTAATATGGAAGAAGTTCCCTAAAATAAGAAGTTTTGTTAATAATAAAATTTATCAAAGAATTAAATTAAAATTAAAAATTGTAAATTAGAATTTTGGCAATAGTCATCATTGTTTTCACTATTTCGGTATTCTTTTTGGCTCATCAATACCTTGGCTCTATTAACAAAAATCATTTATGCAAAATTTAGATTCTCTTTTGAGAAACTTGTGCATGACTCTTTTAAATCGAAATTAGAAAGAACTCATACTACAAAACTACTCAAAGTATAGAGATGTGAAAATTTGGTAAATTAAGATTTTCATTAAAATTTTTTTAACACAAACTCTACAGTTTCAGAAAACCCATCAAAACATTATTGCTTTCCTCAGCTACCATTCGGATTAAAATTGTTCTTTCAAAAAATTTATAAAATTTCAAAATTTTTAAATCTCAAAATTTTATTTAATATACGAAATTTTTGATTTAGTGAGCAAAAAAAATGAATTTTTAACTAGCAATTTAAGATTATCAAGCAACAACATTGTAACTTAAATGTTTATGCACCAATTTTATTGAGATTATTTTTCTATATTTAAACAAAAAAAAAGCAATAATCATTGAAATAAATCAAAAGCAATGTGAACATAAGAAATTTTAATAATATTTTGCTTTTTTTGCCACTTTTTCTTTGTTTTGACTTTGGTCTAGAAAAAATTTAATAATTTTTGATGATTTCAGCAGGAAACAATTTCGTGTTACGCACAATTTTAACTGCATTATTATAACAAAATCATTTTTTCTTTTGAAATAGAGAATAAATTTTTATTTGAAAAATGTTACAATTCAATTTTTTCCATTTTAAATGTTATTTTTCTATTCATTTTCTATAATAAAATTTCGCAAATATATTTTTCAATTGTTAAATTTATTAATAGAATAAAAATAGAAGAGTCATACAAAAGATGTGAGCACAATAAAAAAAAAGTACATTACTGACTTTTATGAACAGTATCGTCGCGAAAATTTGAACAATTAGAGACCAGAACCTTTCCGAATTATTAATTGGTTTCCATATATTATCAAATTTACAGATTTTCATTCCAATTGGTATTAAAATATAATAATCATTGAAAAACTAAATTGCCAACAAAATCTAAAATTTAAATCACAAATTTTTATGTGTATAAGATTTCCAGGATTGTATGAAGAATTCTAAAGAAGATGCGACAAAGTTAACATTAGCAGTAACAGTAATAACTTTTGCTTGTAACACTTGCTTTTATACTTTTCGCAACAAAAAAAAAATTATTTCCAGAGATAATATTATTGGAATCAAAATTTTATTATTGCCTAGATATTAAAAATACCAATTACGAGTCAATTTTTGTTTTCGAATTACCGTGTTATCTGAACTATCAAGTGTCCGGATTATTGCAACGATACTGTAGTTATTTTATTATACAATGTTAAAAGCGTAAAAAATTTCGCTTCCAGTCATATTTTTTCTTGAATGTAGTATTTAATAGACCATTTCGTATTCTATGCTCGATAGTAAAAATTAAATAAGGAGGTAAAATTAAGCGATTGTGTTTCACATTTGTTTGTACAATAATATTATTTTTTATATAATATACTTATATATTGTAGATATTTACATATTTATACACACCTTTACTGTATAGTACTAACAAAAAAAGAAAAAGGGGTAAAAATGTTAATATTATTTACTTTATTTATATGAATAACGAAGAAGAACTGCATTGAACGAAAAAACGCACATTACATTTTTTGAAAAGAAAAAAATAATTTCTGATTATGGGTATTTAACTCTTTAACAAAATGGTGGTGAAAAGATGAAAAGGGCTAAAACAAATTGTTATTTTTAACAGTTTAAACACAAACAATTTGTTATATTCTATATTTTATAATTTATTTAACAGTTTAGATTTTAATTTTACCAAAGAAAAAAAAATTACGATTTTGTGATTTGATTAAAATTTAGGGTGATAAAACCAACTATTTTATAATAATCATAAATGAAAATATTTGATTATTTCATAAATATTTATAATTTATAAGTAAAAAAAAATCTATGAAAAATTAAATAGAAGTAGCGAGAAGTAAACACCTTTAAATTAAGTAATTTAATGATTTGCAGAAATATATGATTTTTTTTTTGGGAATAAATATAATCTGTTAAAATAATACGAAGGCACAAGATTAATAATTTTCAAAAAAATTGTATTGTACGTTTTTCATACAAAATATGAAAATATAAAAAAGTAGGGCTCATTAAGAATTTTATAAATGAACAGAAGTATTAATTTAATAACCATAATTCATTAATATTCGTAAAAATGCTTCATTTTTTGCCTCTACCATAACTATACAAGTCTTTACTTTCGACTTCTTACTCTAAAAGTCTTTATAAGCCATATACTTCTGATTTCTAAGTTCTAATTCAAAATATTTGGCAGTCACTTTTAAAATACACTAAGTCCTCGATATATGACATTTTTGGTTCCAGAAATTTATATCGAAATCGAAATGTCGTTTGAGGAGGATAAGGAATGTATGAAAATAAAAAGTGAATTAGACAAACTATTTTATAATATAATTGACCTGTTTTTTTAAAACAAAAAAAAAACTCAATTTTGTGACAAAAATAAATTAAATAAACTCTGATTAAGTGGATATTCGTATTTTTAACTACTGACTAGTATTTTTAAATAGAAAAAGTTCACTATTGAAATAATGTACTTTAATCTTTCTTGTCTTATAACTGAATTCGGTATAGAGTTTTATTCAAAAAACAGTAAAATCTGTTAAAAAATTTTTTTTAATTTTTAATGTCGTATCAGGAATAATGTCGCAAGCCGAATAAAAATGCTCCAAATTTATATAATGTCGTAACACGAAATGTCATATTAGATGTCGTATCTCGAAGACTTATCTCGTAATAAGTACACTAATGAAATCAACACTGATGTCCCGAGAATTTTGTTTATACATAAGTATATGTATAGCGTATAATCCAAATGAATATTCGAAAAAAAAAACGAAGCTCTTCGAGAAAAAGGTATGTATATAGCATAGCTTCGCTTGATTAACTCGCGTCATCCCCGAATATATATAAATTCATTCTTAATGTAAATCTCTAACTTGTAATGAGTGATTTTTAATGAGTGAAAGGAAATACATAGAAACGTTTAAATGGCACAATCACAAAATTTATAAAATCTCAACTATCAAATCAAACTTTCTCCATAGAAAGAAATTCAATTACCTATCATTCAACTTGTTTTTTTTTTTTTAAATTATATATTTTGATTTCATTAACAACATGTTATCATTTCTTTTAATAATTTCCGATTTCTAAACTAAATATATAATTAATTTTTCTTTTTTTTTCTTTTTCATTTACCTTTAAATCAATTCAAATAATCCTAAACTAATATCAAATATTTTTTTTTATAGAAAAGATACGAGCCGGGTATCTAATGTCTATTATTCTCAAAATTTTTTTCTATTATAAATATTTATGAATATATGTTTTTGGTTATATATGTTTATTATACATATGATAAAGTGGTAATCTATATTTCATAATTTTTAGGTTATAATTATTTTGTGGGGGCATATCCCTCAAAAATTTTAATCAAATATTTTGATTTTTATTTGTCTACAAACCTATCAGTTATGGCTACTTTATTTTTACTGTTGTAAAAAATTTAAAAAACAAATACATAGCCTAAAAAGCACAAAAGTTAGAAGAAAAAAACAAGACCTTTGAAAAAAAAACAAACTACTTAACTTTTTTAACCTTTTACACAAAGAAAACGAAAACAAAACTACTGATATGTTTTTTTTTTGTGGTGTCTTGTTTGAGGGTACAATTTTCAAGTACACTATCATCAAAAATCTACCTTAAAACATACAAAACCTTTTATAAACAAATATTTTCTTACCTGTTTGCTCACTTCTTAATATTTTAGTGCTGATAATCAAGTGGTTTCAAGATCAAGTCATCTTTTTTTTTTTATTTGTAAAAAGAACTCAAGTTCTTTATTTTACATTTTTCGCTCTTGTTCTTTTTCATTCTTATAATTTTTTGAGTGGTCATCTTCTTATTTGTGTTTCTCATGTTAACAGCAGATTCCCCATCTCAACTTCTTGTTTGATTCACTAAAAAGGAAAAATAAGGTAAAAACAAAGAATAGATCAACAAATTTTTATTTTTTACATCCTCATGTCATTAAATGTAAGTATGTTTAAAAGTACATTTAAAAAGATGTAATCTTAACATGATCATTACAATATGTCAGTCCAGTTGTTTCCTTTTCTGGAAAAAAAAATTTTTATTCGATATTTTATATTGTAATTAAGGAATGAAATAGATTCGTCATGTTTTGCTGTAAACCTTTTTTCATTTCTCATTTTTTTTGTTTGAATGATGAGTCAAGTTCAAAAATAATGTATGTATGTGAAAGTACGTCTACAATATTTTTATCCTCGATGACAAACATTAAATTTCTGTCTAAAAATTAATATAAGCATTCGTTTTTTGTGTACCTGTACGAACGGATGTTGGAAGAGTATCATAAATTTACTGTTGGGTTTGTAATGTCGAGAAATAACTGTCATATAGAAATAACTGCGATATAATCATATATGTGCATATATTCTTGTTCAGTATTGAATTAAACTTGAAAGCATTGTTTATATAAGCTCTTATAATAAATATGCATTAACGTTATTGTAAAAATTTCATTAATATTATTAAACATTAATATAAAACTAATTTGAGTAATTTAACAGACTGCTTTTGCATTTCCCGAAAAAATGAAAATTTCTCGCGAATTGACAGCACTGAATATGAAAAACGAGCTGTACAAAAATTGTCTTCTGATATGAAACAGTTGTTCGATTATTATACAACTCATAGGATAACAATTCATCCGTAAGGGTATCATAGAGTTGAAACGGTCGGCTCAAACTATTCTCGTTATTTTTCTTTTTTTTTGTTTTTCATTTTTTAACGAATTGTGTGTTATTATGATTAAGCATTAATTTTAAATAAACATTAAAGTAGGGTTCTCTGTTTTTTTTTTTGTAAATTATATACTACATTATTATTTATAACACTTGATTAGGTGATCATATTTTATGTTTTTCATTAATATTTTTTTTCACTGAATTTATTGCATTTTGATATAGAATAAATATTTTGAAATTTTTTGTTTCTTTATCTGTTAAAAAGCCATTAAATTTGATGAAGAAGGTATTTTTGCTTATTTTTGTTTTTGGAAAAAAATACTCTAAAAATCTCTTAATATTTATAGGAGTTTTTATGTTTATTTCATGTTTTTATTATTTTTTACTACTTTTTTATTAGTCTAATAATTAATTGAATTCTTTTGTAAGTTTTTTTTTGAGGTATTTTTTTTTATTTATTTTTTAAATAATATGTCATTGCAATGTGATCAGGTATACATATCTAATGAATTTAAATAAATATAGTGGTAGTGATCAGTAACGTGATCAGAATATTTATTATATTATTAAATGATTTGCAAAATTTAGAAAAACAGAAATTTTATAAATAGAACATTAAGTATAAAAGTAATGTATTTGTATGGTTTAGGCAAAAATGTATTCTTGTTTAAATTTTGTATGATATTTTAATAATCATTTACACTTAAATAAAAAAAAAGTTCCCAAAATTGAGTTGAACAAGAGAAAATAGGAAATGGTTGTAGTACAATTTAATTATTATTACCCGTTTACAATATAATACAGATACACATATTATAAATAAGAAACGGCAGCTTCTATACTTAAAATGGGGTTTCGTATTTTATAATGCAAATATTCTTAGAGTAGCACTTGTATGTTAAAATACAAATGACAATTACTTTTAATATTTTGCTGCTATATAGCTATATTTTCTACAGGGGACCTTATCATAAAAAATTTCACTGGGCAAAAGTTTTTGTAAGAACAAATAATATCTCAGTCTTTGACATTCATCAAAGAAAATGTTAATAATATGTAGATCCGAATTAAAGTCATTTATTATTTAAACCAAATTGAAGAAGCTAAAAGCGCCCCGTTTGCAGCCAAAACGACGGCTGCTCTGAATTTAAGAATCTGCGTCACTCTCTTAAGATTGAGATAAGTTACAGATTTATATCTTTTCAAACTCCTTTTAGATTACTAGCAATAAAAAATGTAATAATCATAATTTCAAAAACATATTTTGTAAAAACTGAATTCTCGCTTTGGGGTGTGTGCTATTAATTGCTTTTTTTTATGTCAAAAGTAGTAGAATTACAATTATTTTATTTAGAAATAACGTAACATTCTACTTTGAAATAAAATCTCATAACAAAATGGCAACTTTCTTTTTTAATTATTTTTAATCCACCCTTACATTCCTATATTTATTTGCACGTATTTTTTTTTATTTATCTCAATTACGTATTTTAAACTAAACATTTCTTATCGAAATATTTAAATTTATTAATCTACTCGCAAAAGTAAATAATAATAATAACTGGGTATTTATGTAAATTAATTATTTTTATATAGATAACTTTTAATTTGAAATTATTGCACTGAACCGAACTAAATCAAAACCAAGAAAGAATACACAAACTTTTAAATCAATTAATTTTACTCTTGTTATAAAAATATAAAAACTTATGTAAAATTTTGAATTTTATAATATTCAATTTCAAGGATCATCATTTTTCCATAATAAAGAAGATGTTACATTAATAATATTGTCTCTACGTATATAAATAGTTATTATTATTATTATCTTCCATACGTACAACCAACATACTAACATATTGTAAACAGTATTATTCTAACCCCATTTTCATGTAATTAATGAAATAAATAAATAACATTCATATACATTCCATTACTATATTATTATAAAATGAAATAAAACGAAAATTTAATAACATTAAAGTTAATTTGATTTTTGAATGATTTTAATTAGTTCTTTTCTATTTTTATTGTATATACACATAATGTGTATAGTATGACTCGGTATGGTAAAATAAATGTGTTGTATCACAATTTTTCTTGAGAAAATTAATTTCCTATCCAAGGGAAAATGTGAAAAGTTTTTCAGGAAATTGTTGTAGAATAAAGAAGGAAAATAATTTATAATACATATTTCAAGTGTTCTTTCATTAATTTGTTTAAAGATCTATTGAATATAATGTTTGAAACAATTTTGATTTTTAACTTTTTAAATCATAATTTTTAACCTTATTTGGATCTCATAAATAATTACAGAAATAAGAATTTCAAAGAACTTCCTATACGATAGAGTTTATTAAATGAAAAGTCTAATTATAATTTTAAATAAATTTTCTTTTTTTAAATAATTAACTTTTATCCATATTCATTTTGTCATATTATATTAAAATTAAGTATGTATTAAGTTTTCAAAATAAAAATCAATTAAAATGATTATAAAGACTCGATTTTACATTCACTGATTGTTTATATGGGCTCCATTAGTTTCATATTATAAAACCGTACATAATGTGCAACTGTATGATTTCATTCAAGCAATCAAGCAATCAAACAGGTTGCAACTGATAGCAACTTGTAGTTGAAAAAATTAATTTACAATGATGGAATATAGAATTTAATTGTGTATAATATGTATGATTATTTGAATCAAGCAGTAATTGCAAAACTACAAATTACACGTTTGCCAGAGCACTAACAATACTAATACATCATGATATAAAAAATATTTATATTAGTTACATGACATAGAAATTATGCAAAGTACTTTTTACAAAAGTTTCGACAAAAATTTCACTTTCTGAAAAATTAAAATTGTTCGGAATAGAATACTTTATTTCTACGCTATATTTCTGTAATACATTTTGTATGAACATGAAATTTATTTATGATGAGAATACTATTTATGTATGCATAATGCTTACTGTCTGTATATTATGTAAATTTTTGACACTATATAATATTGCTTACTTTTATTTTTGTGTTGCTTTTTTTTTCTTTATTTTTACTTTAAAAAATGTCACATTTTGTAACATAATCATGAAATGAAAATTGTTTTGAAATTATTGTACCTACTTCTCTCACATATTAATATTAATTAGTATAATGAATACAACAACAGCACAAGCAATATTGCACAGAATAAATGTGTAGACATATGTTCAAACACGGAATATTTAGTAATAATAATTATATTCAACAATAACCGTAGAATTAAGAAGAGAGAAGGAGATATATATATATAAAAGTTGAAGAGAGAAAAAAAAAATATTTTTGTTGTAACAATTTGTACCTAATGGCTAACTAATGACCATTTTATTATCACGTTAAGGACTGCATTTTTATTATTTTGTGCTCAATTGCATTTTGTTAATTTTTTTTTTTTTTGGAATAAATTTAAAATAAGGAGAATTGGATTTTGGGTTTTGTTTTTTTACTTTTTCAATATTTCAATGTATTTTTCCTTTATATCTTTTTGAGTATTTTGATAAAGAAACATGCTTGTCGTATGCATTAAAGTTTGTCATAATAATATTGTGTAGGTAATTGGATTGAGTTTTTTATGAGTTTTTAACCCTTTTAAATTAATACATGAAAATGTATTTGCATGTATCCTTGGAGCGTTGATAAAACAAACAAAAAAGGAAAAGTTGATAAAACGAAAAAAAGACCAAAAAAAAGAACATGTGATGTGGTTAAACAAGTTAAAAGCTTGTCATACTTTTATTTGAATTTTTTTTAAATAATTATTTTACTGCATTCAAAAAAAAATTTGAATATTACATAATTGCTTTCACATTTATAACATTAGAGGGAGCAACTAAAAAATATTTTGTCAGTATTTCCGAAATGATATAAAAATTTTTGTTTTTTATATAAAGATGTGACACGTGTCATTTATGCATATTGTTTATAATAATAAAAAAATAAATTTTCTAAAGTTATTAGAATGAGTATGGATACAATTTTTTTTTATAAACAGCTTTTTCTATAAATACTAAACAAGAGTTGTTTGCATCCTAACATAGTATTTCTTTAACCTCTTTCAGGATGTGGTTCAAAAATCATTCATAAATATTTTATTATTTTACAATAATTAATGCGCTCGTTAATTAAATAGAAAAGCTTAATTGAGAATTAATTGTGAATAAAAAGTTTTTCTATATTAAATTTCTGTTATACAAGAGTAAAACTAATTTATGTAAATATCTATTAATTAAGATGACGAGCGTTGGAAAATTAATTTGCGTATATAAAAATATTAGAGAAATCTATCGGAATAAATTATAATAAAATTTATTACATAAACTATTATTACATACTTAAATTTCTTTTTATACATAGGTATAACAGTTTAATTCAAAAATTCTCTTTTACAAAAACTTTTTTTTTAGTTTGTTTGTTTTGTATGTTTTGCTTCCTTCTTTAATGTAGTGAAAGTTCTTTCATTCTTATTGAATCATTTTTATGTTTCCTTTTAAATTTCCGCTTATTTAATATGTATAGATTGTCTGTTATAAAAAATAACCTTCACGTTTTTTGAATTGGAAAATTGAATTAAAATTCGGTACGTTTCTTCTATTATTAATTTTAATTTTAACGCTCTTTTTTTTTTAAAAAAAAAAACTGTAAAATTATTATAAAAAATGTAAAAACTTCATATGTAACCACTTGTATTATTTTTTTAAATAATGGTAATAAAATAAAAAAATGACAATTAAAAAAGGATGCTTCAAATGTGGTTTAATATAAAACCACACAATTTATTGATGTAAAAAAAATGTCGAAAAAAATTATTATTTTTTATTTTATTTTAAGTACTGGGGTATGCTTACATAATGTAATAATGTTAACTGTTGAATTAATTCTAATGAAATATGTGATCAGAAATTTAAATAACAAAAAAAATATTTTCAAAAATCTGGCAGCAGTAATAATCATTGGAAATTAATCATTTTTGTATTTTTTTTAAAGAAAAATTAAAAGAACGTTATAAATGATCAAAAACGGAATATGAAGGCTATTCGAAATACATATGTACATTCATGCACTTGTGTATCTACAGTAGAAATGCGATTTTGAATATTACTAAATCTTAATGAAAAAATGTTGTTTTCGGTTGATAAATGTTAAAAGTTAATGTTTTTTTGGAAAGGTACAAAATTTACATTACAAAAGTAATGAGAGAAAATTCTAGCTAAAAATTCTATTTATAAAAAATTATAACTAAATTGTCCGAGACTTTTTCTCTGTACATAACATTCTTAGTTGCAGTTTTTACTCAAATTAAAATTTCTTGTTTTGTCAATATTTAATGTAAAATTTTTTGGAATTCTTCCTAAACTTTTCATTTTCCAAAGGAAAGTAACTGAATTTCGCATATATTCTGGAAAATCTGGATATATCGGAGAAAATCATTCAAAAACGTGATATGACTCTTAATTAGTGTCTTTTCATTAGCTGAGTAAAAAAGGCGTACTACAAAGCCTTAAATTTCTATATAGTACGTATTATTTTTTAATCAAGTCAATTATATTTTTTGTGTTAATGGACAATACTTTTTTCGTTGTGTTGAAAAACGTGAGAATTTTAAGTAAATTTTCCAATAAATAAATTTGATAAATTTTAGAATAGCTTGAGAATAAATGTAGTTTAGATATTTTGGAAGAAAATTACTAGCTATAATAATTTTTTATATGACAAATCAACGCTTTTTAGTAGAAATTACCAAAAAAAAAAAAAAGAGTCAAAATAACTTACATTGTTCCAAATTTGAAAATGTTAACTGCAGTCCCTGACAATCACTTTGTTTAATTATGAAAAATATTGAATAAAATATGAACTTCTAAATATATATACATATACATATTTGTTTTGGTCCACATTTTTATTTTAGATTCTCGTGACTTGTACCACACCTTCCGCAATTTAATAAAAAGGAATACCTAAAAACAGAAAAAATAAATTTAAAGATATTTTTATTAGATCTAATAAAACTATAAAAGCAAGGAATAAAGGGATAGCTTTTTTTGTTTCCCTAAAAATACCTTTGAGAAATGACCAAATACCATAGGTATTAGAACTTTTTTTTTTTTGCGTATCTTTGGATATTTATGAAGAATTTTATTTTTTAAATATATGTAATAAAAAAAAAGGAGACAAAATATTGAAAAATATTTTTAGTGCCAAAAAGTTTTTAAAATCTTGATTGCGAAAGAATTTCATCATTTTTAAACTGGTTGTTTGTCATTCTTTCATTCCTATAAAGTCATTAGACCAATAATGATGTTATCGATACATCAATTTTTTTGTTTCTTCAAAATTTTTTCGTATTTTTGTTTAGTTTTTGTCGTAGAAATTCATTTTAAAGGAAAAAATACAAAAATTCTTTTTCCATTATTGTATATTGTTGGCTCCATTTTTGGAAACAAAAAAAAAAACATATTTTAAATATCAAAGAATTTTTACGCATTTTACAATTAGCTTAAAAAATATTTTCCTTTTTGGTTTTCGACATAATAATATTGTACTTTTAGAGTTAAATCTATATAATTATGTATATAGATATAACATACGAATATACATACATACATGGGTTTTATGTATAATTATGTACTTACGAAAACTTCTTATTTCTATTTCAAATTCATTTAATAGTTCACATAACCACTTTGTTCCGTTCATTTAATTTTGAATTATCTTGATTTAAGAATTACATACATATGTACATATGTATGTAACATTTTTAACTTCATAAATAATTCTAAGAGCTAGGTTTGATATGATATTTACACAGGAACTTGTGCTTGCTTGTACTATGTGATTTATATCCCCTTTTTTTTCTGTTCATATTGAATTTTCTCATATTTCTGTTTAATTTCATGTCAGTTCCGCCAATAAGTACTTCCTCCATTTCAGAATTAATGAGGTTATTTTCTCTATTAAAAATAAAACTTTTTCATACACAATATTAATTTTTCGTTACTTCTTAAAATTACTTTTGAAAAATTGGGCTTCCTTTGTTATTTCTGAAAAATATTTTTGAAAAATTAAATCTTGAATTTACATAAATTTGTAATGGCGTGTTGATGAGGTTACTTACAATAAAATTCTATGCAAAATCCAATCGAGTAAAGCGATTTACAAATTGATCGTGTGGCGGTGATACGATAAATTTTGTAGAAAATTGAAAATAGAATAATGATGGCGTGTTTTTATTTTTGACACTAATTTGCAGACTATTTAAAATAGCATTGCCATATCATGTTTTTTTTTTAAAAAATAAAAACTGGTAATAAAATTGTAAAGTGTCAATTAGTAAGTGTAAACAAAAAATTTATGAATTTTAATCAATAAAAATATTTGTTAAAAAATTTATTCAATATGCGAATAAATAAACAATTTAATTAATATTTATTTACATAATAAATATAAATGTTCTAATATCATATTATCTTAAAGCGGAAAATATAAGATTCTTATTTGCATTTGGAAAGCTACTAATACATTTGTGTATGTATTTAATATTTAAGTATATTAAATTTCATATAATAAAAAAATATTATCATTTGATATTTAACCCCTGTCTTTAATATAGTATACTTGTTTTTTTATATTTTACTGCTGCACTTATTAAGTAAACATTTATGTATACTTAACAAAATGTCTTAAAATTTCTCTACTTTCTTAAATTCAATATTTTTATACTTATTAAGCACATAAAATATCAACTCATATTTAGGTATAACAAATGTAAATTTTTTGTTTTTTTTTCTTTTTCGGAAATCTAAATTACATCTTAAAATGTTAAATTCATTGTTTACAATATTTTCATATGAAAATATTAGGTTTATTTATTTTAATAATTTTTAAGGGAAAAAAATTTGTTTAAAAAAAATTATCATAATAAAAAATCATATTTTATAGTAGCAATTGCACCCTTAAAAAATGTAACTGTAGCTTTGTTATTTTTACTCATTTATACTGTTATACACGCATTCATATTTACATATAACGTATACATATACATATATTACATTATACGTTGTATACTTACTTTATCATTTTATTGAGACATTTTTATATTAGATTTTATAATATTTAAGTCGATGATAAATAAAAGAAAATTGTAAACAAAAGATTATTAAATGTCACCATTGGTTACAAAAATAATAAAAAATAATTTTTTTTTGTTTTTTTTATAAAGAACTAGCTTTGTTATTATGATATCATGTATTTATGCTTAAAATTAATATTTGAAGTATATAAACCGAAATTTTGTAGCAAAAATACGTAATATGTGTGACAAATGGTAAATTTAACCCTTATGTGCACTGAAATTCGTAATTAAAATTATAAAATATATTGGTCAAAAATACTTTAATTAAAACTTTTATATAAAAAATCTATTAATATTTATTATTTTAAAATTAATTAATTAATTTTCTTTTTATTTACAGGTAAGCTACATTTTCTACTTTTCAAACTTTAAATTTGGTAAGCTACATACATGCAAATAAAAAAACTGATTTTATGTTATGCTATTTCATGAGTTATGCTAGAAAGTGGCATATAGTACATATTTACACTTTCTTTCTGTAGACTACAATCTTCAAAAATTTTCGTAAATTTAAAAAAAGTTGATCACCTGTTTATTATTCCAATTTTGATTAAGCTTTTGAAATGTCAATTAAGGAACTGGGTATATGTGGTAACTCTGTTTTTTTTTTTGTAAAGTGAGAAGCTTTGGAGATCTTATGGAGAAAATTCTCACTTTTCATTCTTTCATTTATTATAAATTATATTCTCACTTTGTATTTTCATTAATATAATAAAATAATTGCTGTCACGAAGGTTCTTTAAGTCCATTATTATCGTAACAGTCAAAAGAAAGAATTTCGATTGTCGTTTATATTCGATTATATTAAGCCAATTCAATATTTTTTGGTAGTGATTTTTATAAGGAAAAATAATTTTAATAAAATAAATATTATTAGCTAAATTATTAAGTATAACACTTATTCGGTTTTTGTACACGGGGAACAATTGAATTTTTAAAATATTTAAAAAATGCACCATAAATAGACGTTTTCAGACAATATTATAAATTCTTATAATATTGTAAGGTTAAGTGAAAAGTGAAATTTGTCATCAACTTTCATTTTGTCTATTTTGTAATTAAATGAGACACAGTGTTAACTAGTTCTAACCGTAATAAGTAATAAAAAACAAAAAAAAAATATTAACTTCGAGAAGGCAGTTAAGATTTTTTAACTTAGATTAAGATATTTTATGTCCGTTCTTATTACGAAAATTGAAAATTATAATGAAAAATAAAAAGTAATTATTACATTTTTTCGTAACAAAAAAAATGTTATTTTATTGTAAAAAAAATAATAATAATAAAAGAAAAATGAATCAAGGAAGAAAAGGATACTGCCGCGACTATCAATTCTTTTATATAGCAAAAAAATTTTCTTTTTTTTTCTTTTCAAGTTTATAAAAATGCTTAAACTTTGACTTTTAATGGTCGCTTCTTAAAACATTAACAGTTTGTATAAATGCCGTTAAATATGCGTTGATAAAAATTATTTTTATAAAATATTTTCCTTTTCACAAAAAAGGAATTTCACAAGATAATTTTAAATTAAAAAGATACTAAACATTTCAATGACAAAAAACAAAAAGAAAAAAGAAAATAAAATAAATAAATAAAATTAAATGAAATTAAGAACATCAAGTTTCTTTTTTTTATTACTTTCGTTGTTAAGATGACGGTTAGCAAGCTAATATAAAAATAATAATGTATATGAAATAGAGATAACAAAGATGTAGAAATTATAACAGAGTCGAATTAAGGTTTTGTTTTAGTCGAATTGTGTTTAGTTATTTCATCACATTACTGCGCCATGGTGCTAAGTAAAACACTATCAACTATTAATACAAAAAAAATTGCTGTTCCGTAGTTGTTCCGTAGTTGCAATTTCTAGTTATCCAGTTTTCAATCTTTTGATTTCAATGAATCAGATTTAAATATGTTTACATAAGTACAAGTTTTCAGTAAATCTAATTTCAACTATAAACTTTTACGTTAAGGATCAATTTGTACTCAATCCTGTTCACAGATTATGTGTGATCAAACGAAAATTTATTGGATTTGAAAAATGAAAGTTGGATTTACAAATCGTAAACATATTTTTGTGCAAGAATTAACAGAAGTGTGTCATAAAGGCTATGCAGATTTGGTGTTCTTTTTCCCATGCTTCTGAATAATGCAAAATCTTATCTTAACTTGCTGAAGCGAAGAGAATCGAATAACGAATTCAATATTTTAGAAAAGATTCGGTCGAAATTCTAATAAACCACTCATGTAACACGAAATGTGTACGAGAAAATGTGTAACTGCATGTTTTAATTACTTTTTACTATCAGATATACTTAAGTTTAAAAAAATGTCAAAAAAATAAATTGAGTTAAAATGTCAAATTCAATCTCATTTAGAGTTTCTCGTTCTCTTTAAAGTTTTAATGTAATTCATCTCTGGTTAGTTAAAATACAAAAAAAAAAACAAAACAATAAAGTTGATAATATAAAATTTAATTATTTAAGAAAAGCGAAAAATAATAATAACGATAAAAAAGGGTTCAATAATGCTCGCTTGTTCTATATACATATGTTGCCTTCTGTACTATACAAAATGCTTATTAAGTGAATACTTTTATTTCGGTTTTTTTTTGTTTTGTCATATTGGTGGAAATCTTCTGGTGTTGATGACAATAATATGTAAGTAATATTGTAGATGTTGATGTAACAATTTTTTTTTTTGTTTTAATATATTATTACTGTTGATATTGATTCCAACATTTTTTTTTGTTTCCATATTCTTTTAGTATTCTTTATTTTTTATGGTATGTACAAAATATACAGAATTTAACGAAAAAAAAAAATAAACAATTCTAATTGAATTGTTAAGGAAAACATCTTGATACTCAAGAAGTTTCACGCATATAAAAATTGGAAATACTTAATGTCTGCCAAGTTCACTTTATAAATATAATAAAAAACATATATTTATTATGTTTGCTATATAAAGACAGTAAAGTCTTGTTGGAATTTCTTTATAAATCTTCTCTTACCGTATCTCTATACGGGTACATAATCGTATTATGTATTATATTTGGAACCTATATATGTATATACAAATACATATACATATATAGGTACATAATTACTTGTATAAGAATAATATATCTAAATGAATGTACATTGTTTTGAACACGTCTGAAATATCATTTAATTTAATAATAGGTATATAGTAAATTCTGAATTAGGTATGATTTGATATACATACATACATATATACACACATTATGTATATATACATGTATCTATGGATCTGATGATGACAATGGTGATGATGATTGGGATTGTGTGTTTAAGGAATTTTGAAAAATTATACCATGAAAATATTTAAAGAATTTTTACAAAGCAAATTTCGCATCATATACCCATTTTCAGTATTTTATTTCAAATTTTTGAAGGAAGGAATTTTTTGAAATGATTGAATAAAAATAAAATAATTTTTATAATAAAAATATATTTGTTTTTGTTCTGTACGTACATAGGTACGTTACACTATCAGCATTATTAATTTTTGTTGTTTTATTGTCTTTATTATGGTCTTGATATAAATTTCTATGGAGATTCCTTCAATTTAATATTTTTTTTTTTTTGTGAAACTTTCTTTAAATATTCTTTTTTTAGTGTGTTTTTTTTTTCTTATTTTAAAAATGTCTGTTAATTTAGTTTTGATTGTGTTTTATTATTTTAATTTTATAAATTTATAATGGCAATTTGTTAAAAATAATTTTGAAATTAAGCATCAAAGTATGAGCAATCTCATTATTTTGTCTTTATTCTCTATTTTGTATTTTTGAAGATTTCATATTAGGTGTTAGGTAATTTGGGCAGGGGAAATTGAACTCCTCCCTGTGCAGATTTTGTGAGGACGGTGACGAAACCGCCGTGCACATCCTTTGGGACTGCTCGGTACTGGCTGGCCGGGCAGTTCGGAACTGCTGTTTAACTCCCTTAGACATATCTCCGACTTTATTCTTGCAACCGGGATATTATAAGTGGAAGCGTGGGGAGGCTATAATAAA